GTTGGGCCCTAAAAAAACCTTATAATTGTCCAGAATTTGGCTGTGAGAAGGGCAGCAAGGCATAGAGCTTGAAGGCAGAGGCAGCAGCAATGGAGGGAAGTAGAGAAGGAGAGGCGGCAGAACAGGAGCGGCGGTGTTGAGAGAAGGCTGCTGTGTGAGAGAGAAGTGTGGAAGATGAAGTGTGAGAAAAAGTGTAAGAATGAATGAGTGAGTAAAGATGAATGAATGATCTAGAAGATGTATGTGTGGGTGTGTAAGTATGAGAGAGCGAGAGCTATGTGAAAGAGTTGCTGCTACACAGAGAAGCTGTGTGGAGATTTGTAACTGTACCTGAATATAGAAATACATAACTGGGCAGGAGAGAGATGCTTGTGTGTAAAGAGATATGTCAAGAAAGAGAGACTATTTAAGTTGAAGTAAAAGAGACAGTCACCATCAGGAAGATGTGTGCTTCTTCTTCTTCTTCTTCTTCTTCTTCTTCTTCTTCTTCTTCTTCTTCTTCTTCTTCTTCTTCTCATTTTTTTTGGTTACCAGCAGAAAGTGTGTGCTTGTTTCTATTTCCCCTCAGATAGAAATGTCTAGCAACCCTCAGGTAAGAATTTTTTCTAAGTCCCACTACTCTGAGGCTTTCCTTTTATTACCCTGGCATGGATCTGGGAGCTGGCCTCCCACAGGACACATTAGTACATGAGAGACTATGAGCTGCTGCCCTTCTACCAATATAGACACGTGCCTTCCCTATATGCTCGCTACCACATCTCCTCACCCCTGCCACACTACTCACCACAAACATGTACCCCATCTCATCCCACCCACAGGAACTGACCCTTTCACTAAGGCTTTCCTAAAACATCAGGGTCGATTCTCTGGAATCTAAGTTTTGTTGTTTGCAAGAAACAGACGAGCTGAAAGTAAAAGGGATTGGGAAACCTCACTCAATATTAGTACGCTAGCATAGCCAATCTCATGTTGCTCTAATGGCCACTCACAAATCTGCTCTCTTTAGAAGAGCACATCTACAATGACTCTAATGTGTAGCATGCAGCTATTGACATGCTAGTCTACAGTTGTGTTAACTGGACTCATAAACATAAAATGTAAATACCCAGGAGCTTCTCTCTCACACACATATCCACTAGAACTCACTCCTGGGACCAAATATTTCAGGGCTCAATAACAAATAAAGAAAAGCCTCTTTAAGCTGTCCATATGTGACATGTTGATATTTCTGCATGATTCAAAGGCATGCAGAAATGTTGGAAGGTCAACAGTGTCTCTGGAAGGTAAAGAATTTAGGTTAATTTCGGCAAAGCCACCAGACAGCTTAGCCGGGAGCTCCCAATTACTCTGAACCTGCGGTGGTACTGAAACACCTATGTGACACTCTTACCATCGCTGTGGTGCAGTGGTGACATTGCTAGTGTGGATGAAAACTGGAAGAGCCACTAGAAATCTGCGTGGAGGTACTTCACAAAACTGAACATAGACTAAGCCCAGCTATGCCGCTCCTGAAGGACTCTGAATCAACATTACCACAGAGGCGCTTGCTCGTCCATGTTTGTGGCTACAGCACTCACAACAACTAAGAAATGGAGTCAGCCTGAAATCTAAGGTATTAATGAAGAAATGTGGTATTTTACAAAGAAAAGCTTTACTCAGAAAACCTGCCTACGATTTTTAAAATTCTCCACCATCACCATCTATCAATAACCTTTACAGGTACAAATTTTGTAGATGGACCCCTCAAGTCTTCTGCAATTGCAACTGCAGAGAATTATTTTCTGTTGTCTCCTTATGTTTTTGGTTGTGAGCTTAGCCTTTAATGGCTGAGCCATCTCTCCAGACTATTCTGTTGTCTTCTTGTCCACTTCCCACACACCTTAATCAAGTGTTTCGTTAGTGAGATCCTATCTGAGGCCGTTGACACTTTCCTCTTGTGAACTTTTCTGTAGACATTGTGAAGTGACAGATGACTCTCACTTCAGATTGTTGTCACTTATCTTTTCTTCTACAATATGACGTCAGGGTCCTGTAATATCTCCAACCATTGTCTTCATTGTTTGAGTTCTATTCTCTTTATTGTTATATGCCTCTGACACATTTAAAAGGATAATTATAATTTTTCATTTCAAGCTCTCTTACTGATTTCAGATTTTATGTTCTCTTACATCTTAATAGAAAAAGGTAATGGTAAGCACTAAGTTTTATTTCAGTTACTGTTTGCTAGTAGCCTGTTCTCTTTTAAACTACTTGATGGGTTGACGCCTTAGCATTTTGGCGATTGCAGGGAGGGTGAGTGGAGAGGCTGTTTCTGCCTGGGACAGACAGCAGGAGCTCTTAGAGGCTTTATGAATTCTAGTTCACACTTCTTTGGGAGATCTAAAGGAATATAGTGAAAATTAAAATTATTATTTCATAATGAGTAAGGATCTAAGTGCTTTTATGTAGAAAACCAAAGAGCAAGCTTGTCCTACAGTCAGCAATTCAATTGCAGTTGTTGTTAGTAACATTAGGGGCACATTGCATTCTGCAGCAGGACCTCCTGCTCCTGAGTCAGCGGAACCAACAATTTAACAAAAACGTTAAATCATCTGTTGCAGAAGCCAATCTTTTCCACACTTTAGCAGTCCTCTCTCTCTCTCTCTCTCTCTCTCACTCTGAGAATGTTGTCAGCTTTGCTCTCTCCATCTCTATGCTACACCCTAGTTTTTACCTGCTATTCTATCAAAAACCTCACAGCATATGTTGTAAAATTAGATAATAAAATGGAAGTATTCCAAATGTTTTATTTTAATTCCTTTGGTTTTTTAAGACAGGGATTCTCTGTGTAGCTTTGGAGCCTATCCTGGCACACATTCTGGAGACCAGGCTGGCCTCGAACTCACAGAGAGTCCATCTGCCTCTGCCTCCCGAGTGCTGGGATTAAAGGTGTGCACCACCAACGCCTGGCTTTTAATAGCTTTTTCCATTGTTGATAATGTGTGTGTTTAATAAAAATACACTGAGAATGTCGACATCTCCACTGCTCTCTGGTTAATGACATCTTCAGAACCCTGACACTGGTCTTAGTTTTTTTCTTTTGAAATGCTACAATAAATACATCGTAAGTTGCATATCAACAATACAAACTTATTTAGACTGGAATTCACTCTGTATTCTGCATGTGAAATTACATTTGTGTCAACTGGAAAAACAGAGCAGATGATCCAAGATCACCTTTTATTATAATTATTAATATGTTGATTGTTAAATTGTACAAATTAACATTAATGGGTTTCCCTGTGACACTTCGTAAGTGCCAAGATTATTGGGGTGAAACTATGTAGTGCAGGCTAGCCTCAAGCTTGCTATTCTCTTGCCACAGCCATTCATGTGCTAGGATTATGTCCAAGGTGATCTTGTGTGAAAAAAATTATAGGAACTTATCTGCTATTGTGGGTGATGAAATAGGTTCTACTAGATATTCTTTTCTGTCTGGGTTTCAAACTTCTTGGTAAGTATTTTGAAATATGTAACGAAGTTTTATTATGCTGGATGCTTTATCGCACAGTGCTGTTCTTCAAGGAGTCTACAAACCTGGAAGTATTAATTGGCAATGGCCTGTGCTAACAGTTCATTTTCATATGTGATAAAATGATAGACGAGGTCTGTCTCTGATGGGAGAATAAATGAATACCAAATGTGATGACTACCTCATTTGCAAGATATAAGAAGTCAAATATATTTTCCATCAGGATATTGACAATAAAATAACTTTGGCAAAGCTACACATCTAGATTAGAGAAGTTACTCCCTTAGTTTATGCCTTGGAAGCATTAGTTATGGGTAAAATATTGTCAATAAGAAATTGAAGAGAATATAGTATACAGGCTCATTCATAGTATATAGGACTGTATTAAATACCACTTAAAATTTCTCTAATGTTTTTTTTAAATAATCCCATGAGGATAGGTTGTCACCTTTAATTGTACGCATGAATGTTAAACATCTAAGTAACATCAGTTTTCCTATAAAGCAATCATTACAAGCCAAGGTCCAAGAATGATGGAGGAGGGAACAGAGAAGCATCGTTGGTGTTTGATGCAGAATCATTTTAATCAGAATAACAGTGTCTGCAGAGCGGCCACATACAGAGTGCAAGTTCCTCACACGTAGCCAGATTCAGTGGCACTTCAGTGGAGTTCATTACACGGGGATAAATTATTTACTTGTTTGACTCTCATGTTAGACTTCTCTCAATCTCTCTTAGGGAAAAATCACCCTTAAAGAAATAAATCACAGAATACCAAAGTGGAGGGAATTGAAGAGAAATATTTAGCAGTACTTACTCAGGCTTAAGTCTGGTCTAAGTATTCTCTCTCCTCTCTCTCTCTCTCTCTCTCTCTCTCTCTCTCTCGCTCTGTGTGTGTGTGTGTGTGTGTGTGTGTGTGGTTTAGTGAAATAGCACTCTTTCTCTCCACATACAGCAAGCATTATGTACAGGGCCAGTTTTCAGGGTGGTTCATAGTGTCTGATTTTAAGTCAAGAATGATGGTGGGAAAGGTAGCTACTCTTCTGGGCCTTTAAAGTATAATGGGTTTGTTTTGTTCAAGCATCAATGCTCTTTACATTTGAGCGCACCACTGAGAATTTTAAAGATCAACTTTAGTTTTGTTTCTAGAAGACTGCTAAAAGCAGGAAGGAAAAGCAAATATTTATGCTCACTTCTGATGAATTAGCATTTCCATAGGGTTTTTCTTATAGATCTGATGCATATTTATTTATTTCCAACAGGAGCTTTTTTGGTACCAAGGGAAAAGTCTAGTGTAAGAATGAAATTATTAAGTGTTTTCACAACATTTATAGTTTAACCTAATTATATTGCCTAGAATGATTGGAATGGCTCCTGCTTTGTAGATCAAATTGACTTACACACAATTTGATGCAATCCTTGATAAGTTTAATAAAGCTTTATAGACACTTAAAAATGACTTTTTCTCAGGTAGTTAGAAAAAGCATGCAGTTCTCTCATTCCTGTCTCTTTCTTAGACCTTTCTTTCTTTAGATGCTGCGTCCCTTCAAACAGTACCTTTCAAACAGTAAAAGGCATGAATATATGTGTGCATATATAATCATCTACATCTATTTTACCTTTCAAACAGTAAAAGGTATACATATACATCTGCATATATAATCATCTACATCTCCTTTACCTTTCAGACAGTAGAAAGTATACATATACATCTGCATATATAATCATCTACATCTATTTTAACTTTCAAACAGGAGACGTGTGCAGAACCTTCTCTGAGGGGTGACAAGTTGAGAACTGGAGGATGAGAACACCATGGAGCTTAGAAAAACAAAACCAATTATAACCTCAAACAAGAACTGGAATCGATGCTAACGATGCAGAGAGATCAAACAGCACAGGGGCACTTGGTAGAAAGAAGAAGCCTTCTCCACCTGCAAGTCTGAATCATTCTTCTTATTTTTTGTTTTTCAGTACAGGGTTTCTCTGTAGCTTTGGAGCCTTCCTGGAACTTTCTCTGTAGACCAGGCTGGCCTTGAACTCACAGAGGTCCACCTGCCTCTGCCTCCCAAGTGCCACCATTGCCGGGCTGTAAACCATTCTTTTCTTACTTACAGATGGAAACTGAATCCCAGCAAGGCAAGGAGACTTTAAGTCCACATGGTTAGTGATAGCGTCATTGGCAAAAGACTTCATTTCCTGATTTCCAACTACACCATGACTGGTTAAGTCTCTCTTAGCATCTTGACTATGTTCTGCTTATTGGTATAGAGATAGAAAATGGAACATAGACAAAGTATAAAAATGATAACTCATTACTAAATTTTTCTAATTTGTTTTCATTATTAGAGTTGTTTTTATGCCTCTAGAGTAATTAACAGTTATTACTTTAGCAATACAAATGCATAATATAAAACTTAGCAATTTAATAATACAAGATCACAAGAGAAGAAATGAGCATTCAATTAAATTTATTATTATTATTATTATTGTTTTTGTTATTATTATGTAGGCAGTATTTGATAAATCTTACTACTGGGCCTGTCATCTGCTACTGCATGCCATTTGCCTAGAGGCAGCTGCTAGAATTCCAGCTGCTGTCAGGGAAGAGATAACTGGTCCCCATCATGCTGGCCTGGGAAACCCATCTTATTAGACAGTGGTATATGTCATAGGCCGAGGATGTTCTGAAGAGAAAAAAATGAGGATGTGGTTTCCCCCCACTAGATAGAGCTGTCATCGGGCTCTCTAGAGATAGCTGTTGATGACAGGGGCTAAGAAGAAGATGAAGGCCTCTCCAGGCTGTGGAAGTTGAAATGATGAAGTGTGCAGTACATGTGTGTGGTACAGAGAAAGATCATCTGTATTGAGGTTGAGAGTAAACCATTTGCTTCCTGGTTATTTTATATAGTATTCTTTCCCCTATCGCGTCTGTCCTTTGAGTATATACTTTTGTGAATATTCAGTTGGTCAGAGCTCGTGAGAGTGGCAGCCATATTAGTATATACTGTAGACTCTCCTTGACATCTCTGTGTCTTTTGGCTTTTCTGACCACACCTTGAGGCACAACTTATGTTCTAGCCATTCTGTTGTGTTACAAGTAGTCCTGGTGACTATGAAGTCACTTAATGTGACTCTCTTAATTAAGAGTTTGATATGACTACTATATGATCAACAGAATACCCTTGAAAATGAGGCAATAACAACTGTAGACTGCATATGAAAAAATGAGCCAAGAGTCACGTCTAAACTTCATCAACCGTTTCCTCACTATTGCAGCCCCACCAGCATCTCCTTCCCAGACTGGAGCACCATCACCTCTCACCATTGCTGAGCAGCAAGAAGATAAAGCAAAGTCTAGTTTCTGCCCTGGCAAGCCCTCTAGCACTCTCCAGTGCAGCTTATAGTCGCCATTGTGCTGTCCACGTAGTTCAACCTTGCTTGTCTTCATCCCAGACTTTGTTCTGTGTGAGCATGGACAGATTCATTAACTTTATTCAGTTGTGAAGCTGGAATAATGCCAACCTCATAGAGGTCCAAGAATGAGATAAAAAACCCCGCTTATTATAATTGAAATGTCTCTGAAAAGATGTGGCCACACTAAATGATTATAAAATGTTCAATAACCTACATATATTACATATAGTATGTAAAATTATTATCACTGAATTGTATTCCCATCCTTATCTATCTGTTGATACATTTATTCAATAAAATCTTATTATTCAATCAGCTTGAGCAATCACTATGTTGGCATATGGTGCAAGCAGTCCAGATAGCATTTCTTATATTAGGCAGGTCTTCTTGAAAAACACAAACAAAAGAATGTATTTTTCTCTAGAAAGTTTCAATGAAAGGAATCAGAGAAAATGGCCAAATTTGCAGATTGGATTGTAAGCTTGAGAGAGCCCAGAAGACTGGGGTAACCGTCTGGAAGTCAGCAAGCTTTGAGTCAGCTGGGTTTGGTTTGAGATGGGAAGAAGCCAGTGTCTTGGCCCAAAGGCAGTCAGAGAAGAAGAATTTTCCTGTCCGAGGGAGGCAAGACTTTTCACTCCAATCGAGTTGGCAGATAAAGCTAAGCATCACATTCCTCATGAAGCTTCCCATCCTTTTAGGAGAAACCATGATTCACATATAATTACAAAGCTTTCAAGGGGTCTGAGTCTAACAAAGCAAGCTGCCAGGTGTGAAGATAATGGTAGAACCATGTGACCATGAAACTGTGACATTCATAGACTTGAGGCCAGGAACCTCCAGGCAGTAGGGAGTGCATAGACCTCAAGACCTAGGAGGTTCTGAGGATCCGAAAGGGCTGTGTGGCTGAAACACAGAAAGGAGGGGGTTGTGTGTGAGACATGAACAGAGTGAGAACCTTGGGAAACGCATCGACTCTGTTGAGGAGGAGGCTCAGAAGTATGGGGCCAGTACAGGAGGCTGAAGGGATGTCCGTGTTAAAGAAATGCAGTCTATTTAAAACATGGTAAGTCCATTAGTAATTTGATCTCTCGGGTTGTGAGGGATCTCATACCATTTTGTTTAATATTTGAACACATAGACAGATGTTAACTGATTATTGTGACTCTATACTCTTCTATATGAACATTTCTACATTGCAGCTGATAAATTTGTTTTTTTTTTTATAGCTGTACAATATTCCATCATGGTTCCCACCATGGAATCTCTGGTTCTCATGTACCCTTCTGTACTTCTTGCTTCTTTGAGTTTTTCCTTAAAAACAGTACTGTGGAGAACATATTTTGAACTTGTTTTCTTATGAGCTCTTCTCTGAAGTTACATTCCCCTCATGGGTCTCTTATCTGCAGGTCATGGCCTCCTCTGTTTCCAGTCTATCGTGTCATGCCCCACTCATCTTGCCTGGGCTGAGGAATTCCAAGAATTCCTGTCATTTCTAGGGCATTAGATACAGAGAGAATGCAGCAAGAAGAGGACCAAGCTCATGAGGATAGAGAATCCCTTCAGTCCCAGTGCACTCATCCTTGGGATGTGGCCTCTGCTACAGATTAGTCCTGCACTTGGCATCCTGTGTCCCTTAGCTGGGAAGACAGCTTATTCTCCTTCATTTTATAGACTCCATGAGCACCAGTTAGGGTTCCGGTAAGAATGTGTTAGGAAGCCGCAACAGAGACAACTGCTCATAAAGCACCATGAATGTAATTAGCCAAAGTTAACATAACATCATCTGCAACAGATGCCAAACCCCCAGTTTGCCAATATTTTTATTTCTTCCTTTATGTGATATATTCATTCTAAAACTTTTGATGTTGAGAAATTGGCCAGGGACAGTTTCTTCAGGCCAAGCAGAATCAGGAGAATTCATCCAGTCCTCTTTCTTGGCCTGATCATAGTTTGCCCACTCAGCTAAGCACATACTGATGAGATGGACTAAGAAGCAAATGAAGAAAACTGAATAACTATGTTGCTTGATTTAGGCTAGGCATGCAGTCAATACTTGGCTCATTGGAGAAGAATTACATTCCTGGTATCAAACAGTATCATATGGTCACAATGTGGGGTCTTGATAACTAAGAATAAATTCCAAAGGATTTCCTCAGTGTATCCAGAAAAAACCTACAAGACAAGAATAGAACATCATAACCATTTAATCCTCTTCCCTGAAAGGGGCATACCAGAGAAGAAATAGACTCCAGTGAGACTCATGTAGACTCTTAGCCATTTGGGTCAGAATGACCACCCATGGCTATCAGCAATGTCTGCATCTAATAACAACAGTGTATGTATACCAGGCATATAATGACTCTGGGATGATAGCTATGTTCCAGAGACAGTGATTGGTGTTTTCTGCATACTCCATTTCCATGAGATGGGTTACCCCAAGTTTAAAAAGCTGGAAGAGCGAAAGACTTGAGATTCAAACTGTGGTCCCAAAGTCAGTGCTCCTGATCTCTAGAGGCTGGAGGCAGAGTGGGATGGCAGGACAAGCCTAGGACCATAATGCATAGTATGGAAAACCATGCATTTGTCAGCCCAGAGTCTGTTAGGTAGAGTTGGGTAGGTCTCATAAACTCTTTAAGGCAAAAAGATGTCTATTTTCTCTAATTTCCACTTGGAGACATGCTGATAATAGGTGTGGAAGTTCCTAGACAGTTAACCATAGAGTTCTATAGATGTGTAAAGACTTGTTATTTTCTACTCTCTTTGCTATGATGGTGAAATTTCTCACACTTAAAATATGAAACATGCCCTATCTGCTCTGGAGTGTAGTTACCTGCAGGGATTAAATTCAAATGTCTCAAGCGATGGGCTTGAGCTTCAGAACAAATCAGGTGATAAACTGACATTGCAGGGAATCAGATCATTCATGTCATGCATGCTGAGTATTGATTTGATTGGTAGAGTGACAGATGTATTCTGTAGGCACCAGGCTTTCCAAACAGATCTCCTTCGAGGAACACTGTAGCTGAGCAGGCTCCCTCCAGCTACTGGAGGCTGGGGATTGATCATAACGGATCATGAAGTGAGTGTCTAGAACAAGACTTGAGTACAGGGGGAGTTAAATGGTCTTCAGGCCACCTGGTGTTGTTGACATCAGCCCCATAGATGCTCCACTGTGTCTTGAGCAGTCATCACTTGGTGTTCTAGATGATGGAGTCGATTTTATATTCAGCTCACACGGGAGGTCATGGAAGCAAAGGCAGCAATCTTATCTCCAATAATCACACTATCTTGGTAGTTTCAAATTCCAAGAAGACTAAAATTGCTTGGATATATCAACCAAATGGGGCTTCCTGGTCCCTACCCCAAGAGATGACTATTATTAATTCCATTGGTCTACGGTAGGGAACAAGAATCTATGTTGAAAAGTTCTTCTAGTGATTTTATGCAGAGAATTTATGATTTCCATAGTCAGAGACACAGAACAGTAGATGAGGGAAGGCCTCAGCTGAGAGTGCCATGATAAAGTCAAAGAGCAACATTCATCAAGCACTTGCTATAAAGCAGGCACAGTACATGAATTTACTCACCTTTGATCAACCTTGTGCTAACATTTTCCTCTATTTTACAAATAGGATGTGTTCTAGTTTGGATTTACATTGTCCCCCAAAGTCTCCTGTGTTGAAGACTTAGTCTCCAGCTGGTGGCATGGTTGGGGGTAGTGGTTCACTAGGAGGACATATTTTGAGAATACTTTGGGGCTCCATTCCCTGGTTTCCAACCCCTTCTCTCTCTTCCCCAGTTGCCATGAGGTGAGAAGCTGGCCCTGCAATGTAATTCTGCCACAAACACCACAGGCCCAAAGGCCAAGGGATCATTGACTGACATCTCTGACACTCTCAGCCAAAATAAAAAAAAAAAAACACCATTTCCAGCTCCTTGTCACAGTGATGGGAAGCTAACACAAGTGATATTTTGTTTATGATCTAACAAATAAAGCTTGCCTGAAGATTAAGAGTGCAAAGCTAGCCACAGTCATAGAGGACAGGCAGTGGTGGCCACACCTTTAATCCCAGCACTTAGGAGACAAGAGGCAGATGTATCTCTGTGAGTTCAAGATCATGCTGGGCTACATGAGAGTAAATCAGTCTAAAAGAGAAAGAGAGTTCACACCTTTGATCCCAGCACTTGGGATGTCACACCTTTAATCCTAGTACTAGGAAGGTAGAGACAGGAGTGATATGGCTGGGTGGAGAGAGGAATATAAGTTGGGAGGAGATAGAAACTCATTGCAGTCTGAGGTTTGGTGAGGAGCAGTGCAGGCTGGAGATACAATCTGAGGTTCAGTGGATCACCCCTTTGGTCTGAGCATTGGTTGAGGTGAGAATTCTAGTGGCTTGTTGCTTTGCTTCTCCGATTGTCAGGCAAGCTTTATTTGTTATATCACAACATCACCACAGGTGACAGAGAGACTTGCTAGTTAATAAGACAGCAGAATCCATGATATCAAGTCCCATAGAATGTGAAATCCTTCTATTTTAACCTCATTGCAAAGAGATAAAATATTCAGATTCAACCCAGAGGGACAACAACCTTTCCCATGACTGAAGCAATGTAACCTGATTCTCATATTAAGAACTTCATGACAGCCCTGTAGTTCAGGTAAGGATGGAGGCAGGGGACTACTGTTTACTCTAAAATCTGTTTCGTGGTGTGCAAACTCCAATACCCCAAACATGAAGCTCCAGTAATTTCTTGATCTCTAGTGCCAAAGTTGCCTTTCTCATCACTATTTCTCTGGCTGATGTGTTGCAATGCTATGGGCCTCGTTCATACTTGCTTAATAGAACTACAGAATGAAGAGTTTTAAAGCATCTAGCAATCATATAACCTCAGAGGTAAAGACAGAAGGAAGGCCTGGCCCTACTAAGAGAAACAGAAAGAACATTCCAGAGATCCTCTGTGTGAGACTGGGGCATCTAGGCTGCTACTCTGCTGTTTGGTTTCCCCAAATGAAGGAGGGTGCCTGGCCTTGGGAAGGTCCCCACACAGAGCTTGTTTCCATGGTGTCACTCACACAGCCCCTGTCCCCCCCCCCAATTCCTCCCTTTATTCCTTCCCTCCTCCATTTCTCAAAGCCTCCCTCATCTGCCAAGGCCCAGCTCACATTCCCAATACCAAGTCAATGCATCTGTGAAATCACCCCTGACTAGACCAGCAGAAAGTGAGCTCACCTACTGTCATGGTGAGTGTTGTCAACCTGACAGATCTAGAGTCACCAGGGAGACAGGCCTCTGGGTACACCTGTGGGGCATTATCTTGATTATGCTAATTGACATGGAAAGACTTGCCCCCATGGTGTGTGGTACTATCCCATGGGCTGGAGCTCTTAGACTGTCTATGGTAGAGAAATCAAGATGAGTGCTTCTGGATTGAGGATATAAGGCAACCAGTCAGTTCCCTGCTTCTGCACTTCCCTGCTATGATGGAGCCACAGTAAACCCCTTCTCCCAGAGGCTGTTTTTTTTTTTGTTTGTTTGTTTTTTTTTGTTTTTTTTTTTATCAGTGCACTTTATCACAGCAACAGGAAAACAAGCAGGGACACTTACCCTCAAACTCTCTTACTCCCATGTGATAGAAATTTTGTAAAAATCTTCTAGCTGCATTTTAAAACAGTATATGGATGTATGATTCTATGCAGATGGGTACAACCATTACATTTCGGTAGCCTGGTCTTTATGTTCCTTTCCAGGCCCCATGCTGCTGTGACAGAGACAGTGAGGATGGGATTTTGCATGTTTAAAATGATGCTGAGAAAGTGGAAGAGTGACAAATGAGCCCAGGAAGAAAAGATGTTTTCTACAGGGACAGTCATAGGTCACTAGCTAATAGAGTGCAGAATTCAGCTCCAGGACTAAGAGCTGAAAGTGAGTGTGTGTGTTTATCAAATGGGGAAAAAAGAAGTCTCCATGCTGCTGATGTAGCAATTACACATTAGGGTTGTTCTTTCCTTCAAAGTTTCATTTTATTTTTAACTTAAATATATTTGCATTAATCCCCCTCCTTCCTCCAATTCCTCCCATACTCCCAGATCCCGCTCAAATTCATGGCCTCTTTCTTAAATTTATTAAAATTTATTACACACACACACACACACACACACACACACACACACACACACACACACACACACACACAGGGATAACATGCATAAATATACATAAATACAGCCCTTTGAGGCTGTTTAGTGCTGTTTATATGTGTTTGGGATATAGGATGGCAAATTAAGTGGCTCATTCCCAGAGAAGAGGAAATTCCCCTCCCCACTGCTAATTACCTGTAGCTCTTATACTAGGGATGGTCATGGTATCTTAACACGACAATTAAACTGACAATTAAGACAGCTCATGATCTACATGGGGACAATAGGAAACACATTCTGAGTGTAAGACCTCATCATCAAGGACTCAAAATTATAGAAACACAAATCCATTTGCAAGGAGAAAACCTGGATGAGAATGCCTCTAAGGGGGTTTCCTGACCAAAACCAGTTCATTAGGCACACAGAGACTGCTAAAACCGTGCGTCAAGGCCAGACTACATCTCAAGTTTTCAGCAGACTTGGCAGCAAAATCGTTGTGGTACTGGTTTCACAGGCATGAAAGATGCCAGAGTAATAGGGTCTTGCAGTCTTTTGCTAAGGCTCCTGAAGGCTACCCAGACCAAGCAGTGTGGGGCAATGTTGGATTCCCTGAAGAGAGGCCCTGAGAGGCCATTGCCTGAGACTTTGGAGGTGAAGTTCAAACAGCCACAGAGCTGTTGAAGAAAGCTACAAGAACAGAATAAAATTAGCCTGAGAGAGGGTATGTGCACTGCAAGCCACAGAGAATGAGAGATGAGGGAGGCTGCCCAAGACCTGTGGCCCCAAGGGAATTCTATCACAAACCCAAGATGCCCAAAGTGGAGCTTCAGCTTTTGGTGTTTACTATTAAACTTTGTTCTTATTTTGACACGGTCATCCTATACCCTACCTATCCCTGTTAGAATAGGAATTTTTCTTTGGGGCCATTGGATAGTGGAACTATATAACTCAGTTTTGATTTTATACGAGCACAGAGTTGAGACTGTCTTGAATTGCAGAAAAGACTTGGACTTTTAAACAGTGTTTGGGCTAT